GATATAATGCACCATACAGAAAGCATTTCTTTTTCTTCTCATCCTTCAGTTCATCATAACAGAACTTGAGGAATGCATGCATGTTTGTTAAGCCTGGGATCTCAATTTCAGGCCATTTTTCAAGTTCTCTCAACCCATTCCTCCATTCAGAATCACTGTCCTTCAATTTAAAGGAACTTGCCACTGTTCTGATCACAAGCGGGAGTCGATCACACTCCTCAGTCACCATCCTGGCAATTGGTTCAACATCAGGAAGGTCAATTTTCTCAGCTGCTATCCGTTGAAACATCCTCCATGCCTCAGCCGAAGATAATCTATCCACTTTAACCATTCTTTCTGTCATTATAGAGCAGACATGACGGAATTCAGTAGTCAATACTACTTTGCTACCATTGCCATTATCTGGGATTCCAATCTGCTGCAAATCAATGGAGTCCAAGACCTCATCTAGAAGCAGCAAAAACCTCTTATCATCTAGCTCTTCTGAGATGATCCTTGCTACTTCACCAGCGCATGTAGCACCTTCCCTATTCAGTTTAAGTCGCTGTGCAATGTCCAATTGCAATTTCTCCTTGGTTCTCTCCCTTGACACATTGACCCATATGACTACATCAAACATTTTCGCAACTTCTTCATGGTTATTCAAGTTCTTCATGATTGTTGATTTTCCAACTCCCACAGTGCCAAATATGCTGATCCTCTTTACTTTATCATTCCTTAGCAACTGCAGTATTTCTTCTAATGACCGCTGAAGTGTAGGAAACCCTTTGATGTCTGGTGCATTCAGCTTCACAACAGCTGCCGGAGGTTTATCTACCAAAAAACCTCCTTGGAAATCTCCCTCTTCCACGAGTCTCTGAACTTCCTGGCATATATTCATGACCTTGCCACTATAATCCGATCTGCGGATCAAATGTGAGGATCTTTCTCTGTTATATTCAGCTCGTAAGCTTTCAACTTTTTCAAGAATCTTCATAACGCTGCTAAGCCACATGTTGTAGCAGCAGGTAGTAGTTTTCGTTCTATTTTGCTGGACGGTCCTCTCATTATCATCCCTTTTGGCCTGGAGCTTTTCTGCGGCAGCTATCATCATGTCAAAGTTACTATCCACATTGTTAGATAAACTACGCTTCCCCACTAAATAATTCCAAACTTCTTTTGTCAATTCGATCGCGACTTCCAGCCCGTCGTTAGCCATGTGAGAATCTACCCTGCATCTGGCATCTCAAATTATTAGATGCAAGTTGAACAGTTGGAATAATCCAAAAAAACACAGTCACTGTGTTTCTTCCATTTCTTTTCTATTGCAATCTTCAGTTATAATTCCTTCAGGAAATTTGCAGAACTCAACTCATCTCCCATAATTTTGGCTATTTGAAATACCTTTCTTAACATATCATTCAATCAGTAAGCTATCTGGGATACCTCTATAACTAAGAATAGTTAGAAGTTTAAGCTCAGTTTCAGATTTTGTTCGCATCATGGACCATACATCTTTAGAAAATGAATACAAGAATGTGCAAAGCTTATAACAGAACTGAGAAAGCTTTTTTTTTTGAATAAGTAAAGATTTTTATTGATCAAAACAGGATGTCTCTGTAATTTACAAAAGAATCTGATTTGAGATAGCAATCAGTTACAAACCTGGCTTACAAAAACAGCCAAGGCAAAGACAAAACCAGCATATGGTTTCATGAACAGAACTGAGAAAGCTAGGACTGGAAATTAACCAAATCAATCTTCAGAACATTGAAAATGAACAACAAGGAAAAAGAAAGGAGCGAAAAATTCAACAAAACAGAAAAATTATGACTAACCCAGATAATCTTTATCCAGAGATTCTAAATTCGGCAGCAATTAAATGTTCCAAATCTGTAGATCACAGATAAATGCCAGTAGGTTTCTGGAACCTGGAGACTAGCAAGTTTTATGATTAAGTGGGTGAATTGATCAAAGAAAAACTTACATGTTTGAAGACAGAAGCTGTGAATTAAGTTAGTCCTGCTGCTAAACCTTACAGATCATGTCTGTTGACTCGACAGAAGCAAGAGATTTGGCTTTGATATGAGAATACGACTGATGAAGTCAGCCAGAAACTGGGAGAAACCCAAGACTTTGCAGCTTATGAAAATGCTAAAACTGGTATTACACGGCTGGGAAAATGCAACCATAGATAGACTTTTCTTGAGACGACCTGACATCAATTAGTCAACTTTTCTGTAGCCACTGGAGAAAAAGATGTGCTTAGATGGCCGAGTTTTATTGACCAAAACAAATTGGGCAAGAAACTCTTACTCCTCTGTTTTTCTTTCATATATATCCCAATGACAGAATCAAGATTATTAGATTCTTATGCTCATAGATAGAGTTTATTCGATATGTTCTGCAGCGGTTGGAATTAAAGAGATTTTGTTTTGTCTTTCAACCTAGGCAATCTGATTAATAAATGAAAATCTGTACAAAGATTTTGATGCCTTGTTAAAATTCTGGGTTATTGATGTATCCTGGAAGCTAACTGGAGTTGGTATTGAATTTTTTCTCAAAGAGTATAGTTGCACAACCTATTTATTTATTCACTGCACATTCAAATTCATCTATCTATTATTACAAATGTCTTTGGGATCAGAAGAAAACTACAATTGTCCACCAGATCTAACAGTAATCCAATCTTCTACCGACTCCAAGGCACTTTCTGCCTGCTGCCTTCTGACTATTCCCTTCCTTTGAATACAATGCCTTGTGGAAAATGGGTTAGTGTACAAGGACTCTCCCTCATTGCAACTCTCTGATTCATCTGAATCATAATCATAATCATCATACATACCAATATCTAAAATGCTTGCAGGTGAACATACATCATCTGTGCTGGAATTCCTGACTGATCTTCCTAAAATAAATGGATGTTCAAGCAATTCTTCTGCTGTCCACCTCCTCTTTGGATGCCTGTCCAAACATTTACTCAAGAAATCCAACCCTTCCTTCGAAAAGTTTGATGGAAACCGAGGCATCTCGTTGCTGCATGCAATCTTCAACATTGCTGCTGCTGGATTTGAAACCTCATCACTCCAAGGTGGCCTGCCCGTGGCCATTTCGATCACTGTGCACCCCAGGGACCAAATGTCTGAAGCATAATCCAATCCTTCATTTCTCAATACTTCAGGAGCCATCCACAAAGGAGTCCCTCCAACATATTGCTTAGACCGCCCTGACTCCCCATCGTTTTTCATGTATTTGAGCCTCTTTGCACATCCAAAATCTGTCAGTTTTACATCTCCCGAGGAGCCTAAAAGCACATTCTTGCACTTGAGATCACAGTGCACAATCCCATTCTCGCGAAGGTACTTCAAACCCTGTAGGATCTCTCGGGTGTATAACCGGATCACTTCTTCACCCAATGCCCCACCGAATTTCTCTGCCACATCAAACAAACTACCACCAGCGATATACTCCATGAATATGTTGATTCTACGTTCACCGTTTGATCCATTGGATAATTCCTTCCCCATGCACTTAACAACGAAGGGGGAGGTCAGCCCCTCAAGAATGGTAGCCTCGTTCTCTAGAGATTCAAGTCCAGCACGAGACTCTGTAGACTTCACAACAAAAAGTGCACCAGTAACCTTGTTCATGGCTAAATGGACAGTTCCAAAGGATCCTGACCCAATAACTTTGCCCTTCACCCACTCCCCAGGAAAAGGAAATGAACAATGGCGACTTCCGGCCATTTATCTGAATTCTTCGTTAAATATGAAGGAGAATCTATGTAACTAGTCCTGGATTGGGTGCAGAGACCCAATTCACAAGAAACTTTTAATCCTTCGATAATCATACAGTTCGCAAAATCACAACGATAAAAGACCCAATTGCCTTCGGTTACAGGAAGAATGATGAAACAGAGGAATTTCACAAGACTTGAAATTTCATAAAAAAAAATAAAAGGGAAAAACTAAAAGGATTCAACAACCGGTAAAGGTGTCACTCGATGAAAAATGAAATGGAAATCTGAAGAGCGGCTTCCCAGTAACTGGAAAACCGCCCTTTGCTGAGCAAGATAGTTTTGTAGCAGAGATCGTTGATGTCTTTGGTATCAATCAATACCAACAGAGTTCTTGTGGAAAAGGCAGATAGATTTATAACTTGTAAGAAACAAATGGTATTTCTAGACAGAGGAAGTTAAGAAAGAAAAAAAACGGTTGATCATCCTATTTTTATGGAAACTCTTTGGTTGGCTGAAACTGGTCAGATAAATAGGCAGTTATAGTTATTTACCGTTAGCCGTATCAGGTTGTATGTTACTTGTTTTTCTTAAATCCCAAGGTACTATGACACATGAAATCAACTATGTACTAGCAAATGAAGAAGAAATCAGGAACCAGTTAAAAGAACAAAACAACTATACAAACACTTAAAAATGCTATCTTGAGTCGAAGTTTGACTCAAGTTTTCCGATTATTGTGTAACAAATCCTCAAAGCCACTGTACAGTGTACACAATAATAGTTACACGCACTTAATTAAATCAACATTCTCTTGCAAGTATAGTCGAACATAACCTGCAAAAGGCTCCTGGGTCCTTGCTCTTCGGGCAACTTTAGAAGGCGAGCAACTTTGGAGAATCCGGCATGGTGTATACGTAAGGAATCTGCTTTCATTTCAGGTTTAGGCTCCTGCTTAGGGAGTTTTTGTCTTGATAAGGCCCATTGCATTGCCCATATGGCCAAAGGGCGCATGTAAGCTAGAGATCTGTACTGATCATCTACATTCCAAGCTTCCGGAGTTTGAAATGAATAACTGTCAACAGAATAGCAACACATTGGTGAACAACAAAGACGAATATTCAGCCAATAGTTATCCATGTGATATTTCAGGAAGTGGGAAAGGAAAGTTTCATAATCTGTGAATTCCATTCAGTTTTAAAACCTTTAGTCTATTCGTATGTTACTCAAAACTTTAAGGGGTCAGTTTTCCACAAAAACCGTACCAACTTTAGAAAGAAAGAAGCAAAAGCCATCTCACCCAAGTCCTTTTTCAGACCAAACCGCTTCAAAGATTCCACCTGCAGTATGAAATGCCATATCCACCAAATCTTCATGGATCATTGTTGCAGCCACCGCATATGTTACTCCAGACCATATTTCTCTTGATTGCATTGATGACATATCAACTCTTCCATCAGGCAGCATCCCATTTACAGCCCCCCGCTTTCCATCTTTCACTTTTAAGACATTGTAACTGTATACCTTCTCTAATGTGCTTCTTGCTTTGTCTTCATCAACTATTGGCAAAAGACCGCATGCCCTTGCATACCTACAAAGATCCTCTAATTCATTACGGCAGACCAAAATAATGTAAAGAGATTTAGATGGGGTGGAAAAGGCACATGCAACAAAATGAACATACATAAGATTCTCAAACCTACAAAGTTCATATGCATGCAAATATACCAATAAATAAATTCAAGTCAGTATCATTTTTTAGATGTGATGGTTATGTTTTCTAACCAGAAAAAGAAATGGGAGAAATTCCTATGTTCAGAATTAAGAAAATGCTTTTGAAGTGCAAATTAAGAAATATAAAATTCTAACCAAAATAATGTTCTAGATTATCTGAAAGTAAACACTGAAACTAGAATACAAGTTATATCCATCATTACAGACCATTGTCCAGCCAATTGATCAGCCTGAATAGATGAGCTTGTGCGACTGCCACTGTCGTCGTAATTGAAGTACGAGCCATTCCACAATTTCTGATAGACAGCTTTGGCCTTCAGAAACTTGAACCAAAAATAATCTTCAGAACCCTTGTCTCCTACTTCGCGTGCGAGGGCAGATGCAGCCTGTAAGGCTGCAACCCATAGCCCACCACTATAGGCACTTACACCAGACACAGACCATGTATCATATGTCTGATCAGGGAAGCCTTCATTCTCAATCATCCCATCTCCATCCTTGTCAAATTGATCCATATAAGCCATTGCAACATAAACTGAGGGCCAAACAGCTTCTGCAAACTTCTTGTCACCAGTGGCAACCACATCCCTATAAACTTGGAGAACAAATTTTGGATTCAAGTCTTTCCATCTATCAGTGTTATAAAGGCAGTATGCATTTACTTCAAACCACGGGTCATCGATTCCAATATCATGTGGAACAGCTCCAAGAACCTTTCTTGGAACCCATTGTCCGTCATGTAAAAGTTTAATTTTACTAGGATCATGCATCATTACTGCAGCTGCAAAGTCTCTCTGGATGCTGAGTTGAAGTTTTGGAAATAACATGATTAGCGCAAAAGAAGCATAAAAATGAACATCATACGTGTTCCACATGTGATATTCAATTCCTTCAAGATAAAGGAATTGACCAATGTTTTCTTCGCCTTCTTGAAGCAAATTTGTTCCAAAAGCAGACTTTGAAGCAATTGGAGTGTGTATTTGCTCAAGTATTGAAGTCATCCTTCCGAGAATGTCAATGGCAGTACCATTTTGATGGGGAACATCAATAATGCTTTTCAAACCTAACTGTGATCTATCAAGGGAAAACTTCCTTCCTCCAATGCTTACTAAACTATGGACTGGAGGGGATCCATCTGCAGTTAAAAAAAAAAAGGAAAGAAAGAAAAAGATAAGCACAAGCCCTTTACAAGATATCCAAATTTTGACAATTGAATGCAATATATATATATTTTTTTTTGAAAATTAATTGAATGCAATATCTAGGCACCTGTCCAAATTGTTCCCCCTGAATTAAGATAATAAAGCTCATTGAATAAAGTGACAGGGTACCTGTGAGAGGGTTCAGAAGAATTAGAGCCTGATGGCACAAGCAATTGCAAATATTAAGTCTGAACTAACCATTCAGGAAGCCTCTTGTCTTCAAGTATAGGCCTCTGCCATGCTTCAATCAGTGACTCCCAATGACTGTGCCCTATGTTTCAGGAAAAATAACATGACATGCAAAATAAGTACTATAAATAATAATAAATTTTACTAAATGAATTACAATAAGAGGCTGGTGAACTTAAATATTGAGGCCTAGAATTTCCAATTACAACCTTATTTCCTAAAACTTATAGAAACTATATTCTTCTAAAATTGAAAACCACAATTAACATTATGAGAACAGAGAATTATTACCAAGAATAGCATCGTGTGCGATATTTGCTGCAGCATCCCCATTGGTTCCATAGAATTTTGTATAACGCCTGTAGATACACCTATTCAGCATGCAGATAATCTTTCAAAGTAGTGATATTTCTTGTACAAGAGTTTCATCAAACACCTGTGATAAGTCTTTCCACCAAGAAAGTCTACCTCAGGACAGTCCCATGCCAATGAAAAAGTAACAGTGCGTACAGCATCAGATGGAATTTTCAGAGAAGCTGCAATGGCTGCCCCAATAGAGGACCCCGGCTCTGAAGGCACTGATGCATCAGTGTACTTTAAATGCTCAAAGGAGCCATGCTATAGAAAAAAATTGGGCAGTCTCAAGTTCAGTGGAAGCACAATAAAAGGAGACTAGAAAGCAAATATTACTTTTTGCTTTTGGAGGAAAAGGAAGCAGCAAAAAAAGTAACCAAAACATTCTTGCTGGCCTAAACTTTGAACCATGCTTAAGTATCTCTTAGAGGCAAGTTTGCACTAACAAAGACTTAAGCACTGAGTGCTTATAAGGGCAGCAGCTATTTCGAGAAAAGCTACAATGACTTAGATCACTACTAAGCTATCACAGCTTATATGGACCATTGTGGTTAGAATTGAACTGCTATAAAGCAAACAGGGGCATTTATCTGCAACTGTTGCATATCCTTGTCAAAAAAGAAGATATATGAGAAAGATAACAAACCCCAGCAAAGTGTAGATAACTCAAGTCTCCTCAATTACAGCCATCAAAATATAGATAATGATATGTGAAAGTTAATGGCCAAAACAGAGATGGAAGTTAATGATCATAACGTACATTGTGGACAATGGAAATTGGCAAAAACAAAGGTCAGCAAACCTCTTTTATTTCTTGCCACATGTCTTTTGCAGTAATGCCTTGTGAGTTCCCTGATATCAAAAAGCAGGGGCACTCTGAAACATGAACACCATCAGTCTCCTGTGCGGCAATTGCAAAAGTCACAGGAGGTAGTCCATCTGCAGTCCTGTACCAGTAAACACAGGGTGTTACTTGTAGAAAGCAGAAAGATGATATGCAAAGCTACTGAACCAATCAAACCAAGTTGAAATATATATATATATATATATATTTTATCTCCCATCTACACCATGACCTTACATGTGATGTAAAAGGATGCCATGCACGCCATCCTTCATCCTAGCAAAATAAATCACTCGATAGGTTAGCATGAACCACAATATGTTACAAAGAGATAAGGAATATTCCATTAGAAAGAACTAATAACTAAACAATTAAAGTCATAAATGAGTAAATTGAAAATCAGCACAAGCACACATATATATAAAAGTCAAGCTTAAGGAAGTGTAACAGTCTTACATTATTTTCGAATTGGAGTGACGACCAGAAAATTCAGAAACTCCTCCCACAGAATTCTGAGTAGACATGCACAATATAATTTCTCATGAGTGCCAATGGTTAATTAAGTTGAGGAAAAAGACATAAAAGGAAAAGAAAAAAGTTACTCACAGCCCAAGTGAAAAGCAAGGTAACATCTGCGGTGGTCTTTCCAGTATTATATACCTGAAAAAAAAATTCAACTGATCAATACCCAAGCAAGTTGTCTTCACCATACCAAAGCAAATTTTGAGAAGACCAATTCTCACAGTGAAAGTAAAAGCTGAAACAGGAAAGCTGCTTTCTTTGTAATTATCAGGAATAATAGGTGAAATTTGGCGACAAACAATTTTAAGTTCAGGGTCAGGTTCACCTGCATTTTCAGACAAAAAGGTGACCAACCTATAAGATGATATATCCAAGGATAAGGTACCTAGAAAACAAATAAGTTCATCATTTGATAATGCAGATACCTTCATATACTGTCCAAGCCCTTGGGTATAAAGCATGATATGTAGAATTATTACCCTTCAGATTCCAGTCCCAAGAACCAATTCCTGAGACTGCATTTTCTCTGTTAATGCACACAATATTTGTAAGATAAACCTTTTCTGGTTCTAACTTTGATTTCTTTTCTATCAAATTCATAAATAAACGACAGTACTGCTCTCAAGAAATCATGGCATTCAATCATTAATCATAAGAGACAAAAGAATATTTGCTTACTTAAGCAGCTCAGGACTTGCTGGGCACAGTACACTGGAATACTTCTCACCATTGGAGTGCGAAACAAAAACCTGCAGGAAGCATTTACATTTGATTGAGACAGATTAATATTCTTTTTTGCAAACAAACAATCATAAAATATTCAGACCCATCTTACATGTCACTCCTAGGATTCAAAAGTAATGGTAAGGACAGTTAAAAAAGAAAAGGGAGGGGCAAGAATTCTCAATCACAACTCTATCATCTTGCAGTCACTTCTTCCAGAAAGCCATATTCATCAAAGTATTAACAATGTCACAGACTCACATATTTAAAGAAGCAATGCATAATATGCTCAATAGGAGATTTTCAGCTTTATAACATGCCTACTTTTCATAGGACATGCATCTGTTTTAAATTAATTATTGCAGCTGAGAATAGCAATTATGGAACACCAGCAGATTTCCTTTTCTCTATTCTGGCTAGAGGTATCCAACTTACAGAAAACTGATTTGCTAAAACTGGTTTCTCTTCACATATTCTAGGGAATAGTTGCCAGCGCTGAAATTCACCTTTGTAACTTCTTCCAATGCTTCCGGTGCTGAAAGTTGTGATTGTGAAGGGGGAAAGAGAGAGAGGGAAATATTAACAGCATTAGTCACAAGATAGTCAATAAAACAAACAAGCACAGAAAGTAAGTTCATCTGAAAATTCATTCAACCTTATGATACTGCCAACATTTTCTTCACATAAATTTTGCCATATTCCAAAATCCACCAAAACTATATATATGTGCAGCAAATCTACATGCTTAAATAATTTTAATCATTAAACTATTTCATTTGATTAGTAATTTAATAAATATAGGAGTAGCTTGGGTTGACTTCACACCATGTCTCTAAATAAACACAAAACCACTAAACGAATAAAACCATTCATTCTTAACCATTTAAGTAACAGGCAATTAAAAATTTGTGCAAGTAATGAAGACCTACCCAACACCACCTAGAGGAACACCATGACAAGATGTGATATAGCGCTTAGCAAATGGGTTGATAAAAACCCGCTGCAAAAGAAAACAAGAAGATGTAATGTCAGAAATGGACCAGAGAAACTAGGTTAAATGGTAATCTTAACTACTTATAACACATCATGCTGAGAATGATGTTTAAAAAATTACCCTTCCTTTGGTTGATTGTTCTCGTATATGCTGCCAAAGCCGAATACCTATAGGAGCCTATCAAAGAAAAAGAAACCAATAGTGTATGTAAACAACAAGAAAAGGCATGCATTTTCCATATACCTCTAGCAAATGCATATTATACTGTATAGAACTTCTCTTATCTGGTTTAAAAAAAAGGCCGAAACATAACAATATTTGCCACTGAAAAATGTGTTAATGTGTGTCAGAGTCTGTCTTCCCCATGTACTTCTGCTTACCAGCATCGAACATCAGGGTGCTATAATTTATTGGAAACTTGCTGGATGTGTTGGCTATAGACATTTGAGAAGACTAATCTCATTTTCACTATATCTGACATGGTGTAATAAATTTTAAAAGCTTTAATTCATTAACATAAAATTTATTGAAGATCTTGTACAATTTTATTCGGAGAATTCTAAAACTTGTATGATTTTTCTACAAACAAGCACTCTCTCCCAATTAAAGAGTAATACATTCACTTATACCAAAACAAAAGCGTGTGTGATTCACATAAACAAATTCCTATGCAGAGTTTTAGGACTTTCCACGTTCAACAGCGTACACACAACGTGTGCCCTGTTCACAGTCATCGCGCAATCTATAGTTCAGCTTAAGCTATTTTCTGTTTAGCCAATTAAATAGTGTCTCTATGAGCATTGCAATGCATTTTACTGACACTTCAAGGAATAAAAATTAAATTATGTATTGTATACATCAAGAGGTTTATGATATGTAAAGACTATGAAAACTTTTGTTGTTTAAATTTTGTAAACATACCATCTGAAGTTTCTCTTGAAAAGTCAGAGTGAACATTGAAGGAACATATCCCTCACCATTTAGGCTTCGATTCCAAGTTAGTGGTGCAGGTTTCCCAGGGTCAACCTTCATCCAAACATACAAAGTAGTTAGAGATGTAGATATGTATAAAAGAGCCTTCAAAGTGTAGAAATGTAATATGTCAAATAAAATCATAATAAGACATTAAATGCACTTCTGAAACATAAAAGCAGTAAGGAAATTGACTGTCAACAATGAGGGATTCATTTATCAGAGAATATTTTGTAGACTTATAATGTCATAAGCACCCTTCATCTGTATATTGCCAGCCAAAGGATGGCTTCAAGATGTAAATGCAGGACAGGAATAAATCATGAATATAATCTGACTTTCCGATCTGGTTGCACTAGGTTTTACACTTCTTTCTTTCTCTAATAAGGATCAGAGGCCTTTGGATTACTTAGAACCTTCATATGAAGGCTTCTAACCCAATTGAAATCAAATCAAATCAAACCCATCAAACACTAGCAGATATGGCCCTATTGCAATTCTATAAAACTGAAGGAGCAAAGAACATAGATTACTTTATTTATTGGAAGGTTGGATGCATCTTTATCTCCTTCATCAAAACCTTTATCCAAGACCTTTCTCTCCGACATCTTTCCTGAATTAACAAATTACAAATAAATCAGCTCAATTGCATTCAAAAACTCACAACAATAAAACGAAAATAATAAAACTAAAAATTTTGTAAAATTGGTTCTGATTTTGCATATAGTTTTCCCTTTCTCCATCCTTCATACGATCACAAAGAAGTACAAATCTTTCAAGTTAGAATCATTCAGGTAGTACTTTAGAATTATCATACCACATCAAGAATGCCACAATAAGGCATCAAGAAGCATCACCAGATGCATCACCAACATACTTTTAAACACTGCAAGCAGATGTAGAAAGCTTGGATCCAATCCAAATTCCTTTCTTAGCTTGATTTTTTAAAATTTTTAAACTAAATTGATCAGATTAAAAAACTGAATATAAGATCCACAGACTGCTAATCAACTAAAACAATATTCAGTTGAACCAAGATTTCCCAGTCGCCGGAAATCGATTCTAACAGACATAAACTAACTGTAGACACATTAATACCCCCATGCCTACATACATACATTCATACGTCCCTCTCCAACCAAATACACACATACATATAAGTAGTCAACGGCTAGAATTCCATATCCATTGACAACCCATTTCCCCTGCAATCCATGATTATCTGCATGGCCGAGAAAACTTCATACACATTCACCATACATAAAATAAACTAATGAATTACGTGTAAAACACCAAAAAAAAAATAAACATAGAAAAAATAATAACGCTTGATTCAAAAAATAAATGAACAGTGAAGTCTCGAACCTGAGAAAGAAACTGAAATGGGTATTTGGAAAAGAAACTGAGAGAGTAGAATGTTAGAAACTTGAAAGAAGGATCAAGTTCTTGAATTATGGGATTTACTGAATAACATGAGTTTTAAATTAAAAGCCTGTTCTTTTGTGTTTTGTGTCCGCCGGCGTTTCTGATTCGGACAAGATATTGTTCCTTAATTATCATGTAATTACTGTAGGCCCCTAATATTTTAGTTTGTTTTCCTTTTAAACCCAAATTAATTTATTTAAATTTCTTTCCTTATCAACCAACATTCAAAAGGAAAACCCCCACGCAAAGTTTTTATCTTTTTTTTGTATTTCTTAAGAGTTACGAATACGTTTTAATGCATTCAAGAAGATTTTATATTTTATGTTTTATGATTTCTGTGGAAATAGGCAAGGGCATGATTGAAAAAAACTTAAATCAATAGAAGCCAAAGTGAAAATAAGTGAAAAATTGGATGAACAAATCAAAGAAAATCACACGATTTTCTTCTTGTGTTGTTTCTTCTTGGCTGTATAGCATATTATTGCCATTGAGTAATTCTCTGTGAAGCCTTCATTTTGAAAGTTCCAACAATGCCCGTTTCGCAGTTGCAGTCAAGAGCATGTACTTTGTCAAAGTGCTAATTCCAATTTTCACCCCCAAAAAAAGGTACAATTACACATATGCAAAAGTAAATTGGTGGAATTATTAATTCATCTAAAGTTTAAAGTCTCTTAAATACAATTTTTTTCATTTACAACAATTTCATTTATTTAGATAATTTTCAATAATTCATATTGCCGTGTTATAACTATATTATGTTTACATAAAGTATTAATAGTTATTTAATTAAATATATATACAAAACGATTGATTAAACAAGTTAAAATTTTAAATACATATATAGATGCATTACTACATATATATTATATAAATTGACATATTAATAATCATGTCAAATACAAGTTAAACAGATTGGTTCATCATATCCTAAACCTAAATCGGTATCACGTTATCAAGCCATGTAAGACAAACGTCAAACCTAAACACCCTTAACTACTTGATCAATTGCATATTATAGAGAAAAGGAGTCAAACATTGCAGGGCCACCCTAATTCCAGGACTCGTCAACGTCCCAAATTCATTAAACCATCGAACATCCCAAACGACAAAAGCAATGTAAATTGGTCCAATTGGACGGCAGACTCCTGGCCATCCTAGAGAGGCAGGAGCAGGCTCACGTATGTCTTACTTTTTTTCTCTGCCACAAAAGGACGAACTCGTAATCTTTGCTTCATCCTAACTCAAGTCGTTAGCAAGTACTATTTGGGTTTGACTAGCCACATCTCGAGGGTCAGGAAAAAATATTATCATCCCCATCAAGATACCATAACAAGTTAACAGCCACCAAAACAGTGCAATTGTCAATAGGCTCAGAGCCTAAATAAATCATCAAATGTTTCATGGAAAATGTGGAATGCCTCACCATCATGAGATTGGTCTTGCACAAAATCTTTCCACCACTTTGCTACAACTCCAGAACCCAAATTATCTTGGAGCCATTAATGGTTTTTTTATTTCAAGAATCGCTTAGTTTTCTTCATGTAAGAAAAAAAAAATAAGAACTTCAGAACCTAGAATCATTGATCAAAACTCTTCATATTGTTCCAAAATAGCTGATTATAAGGCAGATGCATCAGGCAGTAGATTCCTTCAGATAAGCAATGAGGTCGGCACGTTCCTGTGGCTTCTTCAATCCAGGGAAAACCATCTTTGTCCCAGGGATGTACTGCAAAAGAAAATTTTAACAGCAACTCATTAATTGTTCTAGTAATCCGACAATGAAATTCCATGGTTAAGGAGAATAAAGAGAGTGGTACACTGAAAGTGAGAAAGTGCTTTTCCTCACAACCAAAGATCCAAATCAAGCCAGCTCAGGTTTGTTAGTATAGATATATCTACTTCGTACCTATCTAAACTTAGTCAATTGCACCAAAAGCACAAAGCCACCAGTGTGGAAACATAGTACTAGCTAATGTTAATGCAACAATCAGCAATCATGATAAAAACACAGAAAAGAATTCTTCCTACAATGAGATAAATAAGCTAGAAAGCATAACTATAGAAATAGAAACCAACATTAACAACACAGTACAACTACATATGAACAATCTTGTAAGAAATCACCATTGCCACACAGTAGCAAAAAGAGATGATTTCTCAGAGCCCCATAATATGCTCCTTGTTTATACATGAAGGACATTCTTGCCAGTTGCCAGTTCATGTCAAAAGGACAGAACTGTACACTATATTTTAAGCTAGATAAAAATCCTTTGTGCACCTGAATTTCTTTTATGACACTACAGGTCCACCGTAGCACTAGCATACCATTACTCTTATGTGATCGACAAGGTAATCAATATCTATCACTTCCATGTTAGCAGTTCCTCATGATGGTTTAATCCTAGTGTGAATGCAAAGAATAGCTAGCCTCAACTAAATGATCCCAAATGAAAATTGTATGTTAAACAACACATGACTAGTTCATAAGACAAATTAATGGATTAGCCTCTACTATATATGATCCCAAATGAATGTAACATTCAATGAAGAAGTGAAGCAGCTCTACTTAACAGTAATATTTCAAAACCATACGTGCAATTCATTCCTTGTATATTCAGAGGTTAACGAACTTACAATATCACACAAAACTCACAAGCATCACACTGAAAAGGAAACAAGAGTTGTGGCATACCTTCTTAGGATTAAGCAAGTAGTCATATAATGTGTTCTCTCCCCAAATCACAGCCATGTTCTTGTTAGCAGCAGAGTAGGAGTATCCTGAAGTTGTGCCGGACTGCCTCCCCAAAAGCCCATTCAAATTCGGCCCTGCAGATTTCAAAATTTCAACTTTTATTTCCCTAAATTTAAATAATAATAATAAAACCTCAAATTCTATCAACAGGCTATCAGAATCAATAGAAAATTCGGTATGAATCAACTTGTTTCAATGTACATCTAAGTACATTAATATCGTATCCTTTCTTTTCCAAATGTAAAGCCTCTTTCTAATCAAACCAAATTAAATACATACTTAATCAGTTAGCAAATCAGAACTAAAGAGCTATTGAATCTGACAACAACAAAGATTAAATAACTTCAACTAAAAAAGGTTTAAAGGATATCAACATCTAAAAAGAGAAGTCAGGAGAAAAACAGGTAAATTGACATGAAAGAAAAGGCTTAAAAAAACACAAACTGATAGATGTTAAATCTCATTTGACTTGAAAACAATCAAATCAAAGAACAATAAAGTCAGATCTGAGAGAAAGAGACGGACCTTGCTTGTGACCAGCGCCTTTCTCGACGGTGTGACACTGGGCGCACTTCGTCTTGAAGATCTTCTCCCCGGCTTTCGCATTTCCAGGCGGTGCTTCATCGAACGAGGCCATTGCTTTTGATTTCAGTTGAGGATTTTGTTTTGCCTATTTGATCAAAGGCTTTCCTCTTCAATGGTTTTTGGATCCAAGGTTCAAAGAACGGTGGAGCTTTCGTTAGGGTTTTTGCGTATATTAATATAATAAGGAGAGTTTGTATGTACTATAATTAAGAAAACTGCATGAATAAATCATGCGCAGCACGCGCCGGCGCCAGACGTCTTAGACCAATCGACTGTTGACTCCCAGAATGACCATAATGCCCATTTGCGTTGGATTAATCTTAAATTAGCCTTTTTGCGGAAAAAAATAGTAATTTGCATTAAGTTTTCGTTTAAATTAATTAAATTAATCAAATAAATTTAATTAAAATGAATTTGATTAAATCGTTTAATTCAATGGATTTTGATTTCAAATTTATTTTAGTTAATCGAAGTACCGATTTTAATTATTTCATGTTTATTTTTACTTAAACATTTTAATATTTGTTTATGTTATTTAAAATATGTTAATGTTATTTAACACATGATGGTATAAGATTTTCATAATTCAAACTAAAATTAAAAATTTTAAATTTAATTACATTAGAATTCATGAATGAAAAAATTTTCCATTAATTACATTACTAATCAATTTAATTTGATGATTCAATTAATTTTTGAATTATACAATTAACTTGATTATAAAATCTTTTAATAGAATTTTCTTGACAAAAATTGCGAAGGCGAGTTTAGGTAATATTCCGTACGCGGGAAGTTTGTTTGTCGCATTTTCAACCTGTTCAACTTTAGCTACTATCAACATCTGTCGTGGATTCTTCTGGAAGCCGTTTGTTCTTGAACTTTTCTACCACTGCTAGAAAGTCATCATCTCCCTTTGCTAGACCGGCCGTCGAGTTCTCCGGCGATACGGATTAACGTTGACGGTAACAACAGTGTACTTCAATCCCCCATCAAACAACTAATGAAAAATAAACTATAACTTTAAAGCATGGATGCAGATAGAAAAAATGGCTATAAGAATGTTACAAAAGGGGGATTCGGATTATAAACTCCATCAAGCAAAACCATCATATCTAAAATTAGAGAAAAGGAAAAACAAACCAAGAATAAAAATCCTTATTGAAGCTAAACCCTTTACAATCAGTTTTTCTTTACCACAAAATTGATATTTCACCACAACTACTCAGTTTTCTTGCTCACTTTTTTAGGGTCCATGAACATGTATGGGAGGACGCATTGGCCAGCCCAGAAGAGGAGGTGATCCTGGTGGGGTTGCATCTCGGCTGGGAGAGAAGAGGCTCAGTTCCACGAATGCACTGGCTGAGGTCCCATCTTTTTCAAAAGTCCGGAAAGAAATTGATCCACGCTTGGTAGAGGCATCGGAGTTCCTCTCAGGGCTAATTCCAAGACTTCCTTCAAGATGGCTCTGATTAGCAATGAGAGATGCAGTGTCATTCTGATCATCAAGAACAACCCTTCTCCTAGCCTCCAAGTCATGAAGGTTCCCCAGGGCTAGACAATCCGCAATTGGGCAGTATACAAGCATGAAAATACAGACCAAAGCACAACACAGTAGAACAAGAAAAGCCGAGAATGCAAGAGCTTCAAACAGGAATTGCTCTGGTTCAGATAAAACAGATAAACCAAGTAAAAGAACCCTTAATGGAAGGAAACTTGTAACCGAGAATATTAAGGTGTAAACTCTCTTCTGCAAACCCTTATTGATAACCAAATTCAAAATCCGCCTTCCAAGCCAAAACAGGTAGGCAGTCAAGACGGTGGCAAAAAGCCCAAGAAGAATGGTATTCAGTAAAGGGTAAGTGCAAAGAGCAATGTCATCAGAATTTTGCGGGGCAGCTGTTCTTGTGAAATACAACGGTAAATCTCCCCTATTCTTGTTTAACTCCGGTCCAATCACAATAAGAATTAGTTGAAGAACAAAGAGAGGGAGGCAGTACAGAAAAACACAGCCTGCTGTTTTCCCATTCCATTTTCTGCTTAGAATTCCTGTGTCCATCTTCTGTAAAGGTGCACGAAGAAGAAACACAAGAGTAAGGAAGAGGCAAGGTTCTGCAAAACCTAGATTTGAGACAATGTAACATTTGCAGACGTTTTCTTGCCATTTCAAATTCAGCGCATTCAACACTCTTCCTTGCCGTCTTAGAAAATTTAGCCGTATAATTTCACCCAAACCCCACCAGATGGCAAAAAAAATGAATGTGATTCGGATGATCCAAGGACCACTGAAATAACTGAGCTGAATAAATCCTTGTCTAAGAACACGAGAACGCAAGTAAAACGAGTATGCGATGCACACCAAACCAAGAAGAATCAACAGAGCAACTAGGCAAATTGTCAACACACCGAATGCATCGGCAGAATATCTCGTCAGGGGCATTACCCGAAACACAGATTCTACGCATGCTCTCTGCCAGCATGGATACAAGGATCCTCTGATAGCGTACAAGCTTCCTTCTGAGAATTATTTCCTGAAGCTATTACCGAATTAATACAAGATGATGCTAAGATTAACTACATGAGAGGATGAATAAGCAGCATTATCAACAGAATCATGTATCTTCTTGCCAGTCTACCAGAACCATATATGTCAAGCATTAACTAATTCAAAACTTACAAATTTCGCATTTAGACTGCTGTTTCAGCCACTAACCTTCAAGCTTTAACTCAAAATTGGATTATTTGATCCAAGAACCTGTGGAAAAGGAAACAGGAGTAGATTAACAAATAGACCAAAAAATTATGAATAAAACTCTAAAACAAAAAGAAGATAGATTTCTATAGCATGCAAAGGGGTATGATAAAATCTGCCACCTTCAGCCGCACACCTAATACACAAAACAATATCACAAGAAGAACTTCACATATGTTATAGGTAAACCCTAATAGAACCAGTTATATAGCCACATAGAGGACACAAAAACAGACATGAAAATTAATTCCTCTGCACACATATGTCAAGTTGCGCTGGAGCAGACTCACTCAAGCTACCATATAAATCAGCATT